ATGAGTTATGAGAGTATTGCTAACATCCTTTTGAAGAGGCAACAACTCATGTACATCGTTGGTAGATGGTTCAGTGGGCTCCACAATGCGATCCACCATATGCGATCCAATCACAAGTGGCTCCAATGATGCCTGTCCATTCTCCATCAATACTGATCCACCTTCACGAACCAATCCAGGTTCCATCAAATGATCCACCAGATGGGATACTGATTGCTCTTTAGTCTCTTCACGCTCGCTAGATCTCGGCCGGCCGCTCACAAACTTCGTATCAAATAAAGATTCTGACCTTCGCTCATTTGTCATTCCGGTTAGTGCTCTTCCTAGTATGGGCCTCCAAATCAAGAGTGTATCTTGTGGTATAAACTTGTTTCAGAAGAAAAATTGTTTTGGTGGATTTCGAGCGTTGCTCCCCTGCAGCTCCTCCACTGCGAAGTAGGATATGCACCAAATGTAAAACTTACTTTAACGAAGAGATAAAACTGGAGACCTTATTCACAAGTGAGCTAGAGTAGTCTATTAAAATAGTTTTTTTTAATCTAACTTTCTGAAATTCCAGATGATGAACACTTTCACAGATACTGATACTGTTATTTAGCCTCTGCATTATAATCATGTGTCTCGACGCTAGCCGTGCATGATGCTTAACCAAACAAGACAAAACATGTAATACCAAGAATCCTTATGTTCCATCCTAGTATCCACAGAGTTAATATGCGATAGATTTTTTGGGTTTACATTTTCTTGATTTATTGAGAAAAATGCCATCTTATGCGGATGATGGATCGTTAACAAAAGCACTCATGTATAACGATGCACAATTTGAAAGATTGTTATAGTGACACAAACTCGTTCCTAGCTTGTTCCTTTCACTGAACAATGATCTACATCTCTAACTTTCAAAACTATTCTCAGTACTTAAAAGAGCAGAAGCTGTTGGATATACTACTACATGCTATCAGGATTGATACTGAAAATGATTCTAGCATCTTTCAAGTTACAGACGATTATTATGATCAACACCTAATGTTAAAGGATTTCTTTGAAAGAAAAGTGATTCGAAATTCACAATTCATCCAAAGCGTATCGTATGCACCTAAAGTGTTCCATTCTATTCGAATGTTTCAAAATTCAAACGAAGTGTACATCGATCAGTACCTTCAACAATTCAAAAAATGTGATTTACGGATTTCAGATACACTGTACTTCATCAAAGACCATTACATGCTGAAAGGTATTCGAGAGATCAATTTAGATCTTTTTTTACAGGCAAAATTACATCCTGAATTGTTAGGTGGTCGGCTTATTGGCTTTTATGAGATTAAGGCTCCTTGGGGAAAATTTGAGTTTATGGCTATAGAATGTGATTGTCAACCTCACAAGTCTATGGTTAACATGTTCCTGCAGCGCGACTAATACTACGAATTCGCGAGCCATGCAAGTCTTCTTTTTAAGTACTACATTGGAAGGTTTTTCTTAAAGTTGTGTATAGGTCTCGCATTGAAATGAATGTTCTGGGGGATAGGTAGTTGGCCCGTATGAATATCTGGTTGGTTAAAGATAAACCCGTAAGGTTTCCATTGGTTTGTACTTTGGCCTAGGCTTCTTGGAGACTCCTAAAATAAAAGGAAAATAGAGCGACCCTCAAAGTAGCTAAGTTGAGATCTGGGTTTGATTATAGAAGTCGTTATACGTGATATTTTCCTATTGACTATTCGGAAACAATAAGAGGGAAAAAACAGTCTGTATCTCTTCGGCGGTAAATATGTGTCCATATGCACAAATTCGGATGTCCATATCGGATATCGGACCTCCATAATCCATTATCGGACCATAAATATGATTATGTAAGAAATCTTTTGCGCTGCTGCGAATATCTGACAGCTTTTAACTCTCACTTACGGCTCTCCCTATAACTTATCAACCTTACCAGTTATATTCGATTTCAAGATTTGCAAAGGTAAATCAAATTTCAAGCTTTTGTTAAAGATGCCAGATGCTTCACTCTTTAACGGAACTTCGTTTATAACGTTATTTGCGCCCAACATCTCTTTATTACAAGCCTCCATTGACTTCTATACAAATTTCTTAGGGTTTGCTATTAGGAAAAACTCTAACCAAAAGTTATTTTGGCTGCAGCTTGAAGAAGATCAAAATAATGTGTCAATCCAATTGATTCTGGATCCAGAACATGCTGCTTCTGTGTCTCAGATTGACCAGAATATTCGCAACTTGACCAGATCGTTATACCGAAAAGACTGGAGATCAATTCAGTCTAATATTGCGTTCAAGAGCTCTTCACTAAGTAAACTCGTCAAATTGTTGAAGGATGGAGGCCATCCGGTGCAGCAAAGTCCCAATGAGATTTCACCTTTTGAGGTTTACACGGTAGACCCCTTAGGCTCATTGATAGGTTTCAGCGGATTCAAGAATCCCTTTGCAGTCAATGAGCGTTCTTTGCTTCCGAAGGTTTCCGAAGAGAAAGCTTACCGTGCTGAAGATGATTCAGAAAAGCTCCTCAATCCTGTCCGTAAGACTATCGGAGTTATGACATCCGGAGGTGACTCCCCAGGGATGAACCCTTTCGTTAGAGCTGTGGTTCGGGCAGGAATCTACAAGGGTTGCAAAGTATTTTGTATTCACGAGGGATATGAAGGACTTGTACGTGGAGGTGAAAAATACATCAAGGAGACTCAATGGCACGACGTTCGTGGATGGCTTGTTGAGGGTGGTACCAATATAGGAACCGCTCGGTGCAAAGAATTCAGAGAACGCTCTGGTCGTCTCAAAGCTTGCAAAAATATGATCGATATGGGTATTGATGCGTTAATCGTTTGTGGGGGTGATGGTTCCCTGACAGGTGCGGACCGATTTCGCTCAGAATGGCCAAGTTTGATTGAGGAATTATTGCAAACTGAACAAATCTCCCAGCAACAGTTTAACACTCACCAAAATCTGAATATTTGTGGAGCTGTTGGTTCTATAGACAATGATATGTCGTCAACGGATGCCACGATTGGAGCCTTCTCTTCCTTGGATAGAATTTGCCGGGCTATTGATTACATTGACGCTACCGCCAATTCTCATTCTCGAGCGTTCATTGTTGAAGTCATGGGCCGTCATTGTGGTTGGTTAGGTCTCTTGGCTGGTCTTGCTACAAGTGCAGACTACATTTTAATCCCTGAGAAACCTGCTTCTTCAAGAGAATGGCAGGATCAGATGTGTGATATAGTTGGCAAACATAGGGCAAGAGGAAAACGAAAGACCATTGTTATTGTTGCTGAAGGTGCCATTAGCAATGATCTAAGTCCTATTTCCTGCGATCAAGTCAAGGACGTTCTGGTCAATAGATTAGGGCTTGATACCAGAGTCACCACTCTTGGCCATGTACAACGGGGCGGTACTGCGGTTGCTTTTGACAGAATATACGCTACGTTGCAAGGCGTAGAAGCTGTTAATGCTGTTTTGGAATGTGATGCAGACACGCCGTCACCCATGATTGCTATTAAGGAGGATCAGATTACCAGAGTTCCTCTTGTTGATGCTGTAGAGCTTACACAGCAAGTTGCAAAGTCTATCGAATCTCGTAACTTTAAGAAAGCGATTTCATTGCGAGATTCGGAGTTTGTGGAACACATGAAAAACTTTATTTCAACTAACTCCGCGGATCATGTTCCACCTTCGTTACCTCTAGAAAAGCGTAAGAAAATTGCAATTATCAACGTTGGAGCTCCAGCGGGAGGAATGAACAGTGCAGTTTATAGTATGGCAACCTATTGCATGTCCAGAGGGCATGTTCCATATGCTATTCACAACGGGTTCAGTGGGTTGGCTCGTCATGAATCTGTTAGATCTATAAACTGGTTGGACATTGAAGGCTGGGGTTCCCTAGGTGGCTCAGAGATAGGAACTAACAGAACGCTTCCAAATGATGCTGATATCGGGATGATTGCATACTTCTTTGAAAAGTATGGTTTTGATGGCCTGATTCTTGTTGGTGGATTTGAAGCTTTTATTTCACTTCATCAATTGGAAAGGGCCCGAATCAATTATCCGTCTTTAAGAATACCTTTGGTTCTTATTCCCGCCACCATTTCCAACAATGTGCCTGGAACCGAATACTCCTTGGGTTCAGACACGTGTCTTAACTCCTTCATGGAATACTGTGATGTAATCAAGCAATCCGCAGCTGCAACTCGAAACAGAGTGTTTGTTGTTGAGGTCCAGGGTGGAAATTCAGGATACATTGCAACCCATGCCCAACTCGCTTGTGGTGCCCAGATTTCTTACGTACCTGAAGAAGGTATTTCACTGGCTCAGCTTGAAATGGATATTAATTCGTTGAAAGAGTCTTTTGCCAATGACCAGGGAAAAACAAAATCAGGCAGATTGATTTTGAAGTCGGAGAATGCATCAAAGGTACTCACTACAGAAGTAATTTCCACTATCATAGATGATGAAGCTAGTGGCAGATTTGACTCCAAAACAGCTATTCCGGGGCATGTCCAGCAGGGTGGTATTCCTTCTCCGATGGATCGTGTGCGGGCCTCTAGGTTTGCAATTCGTGCTGTCTCTTTTATTGAAAGGCACTCGGACAGATGCCAAACTTTCAAAAATTCGATTAGTTTCCGACAAACTGATGAGATCACCTCCACGGCTGTTGTTCTTGGAATTCACAAGTCCCAACTGAGATTCACACCAATTCGACAATTATACGATTTTGAGTCTGATGTACCCCGACGTATGAGAAAGAATATTTTCTGGAGTAACGTACGGGAAATTAGCGATATGTTAAGTGGAAGAACCTCTTTGTAGACTTTCTTACAAAAGAGACATTGCCGAAAGTAAAGTAGTTTTTATAAGCAGTTTCATGAACATTTCGTGTTTAAATCTTCTATAGTTTGTTTTATGAGCGGTATCTGGAAAAGAGTTCTCAGGGCAATAAAAATTTCACTTCCCTCTTGTAACTTAAATGATTTTTGTTCCAAGAGTAGAAATATGGTTCTGTGGTCTAGTGGTATGATACCTGCTTCACACGCAGGGGGTCTCCAGTTCGAACCTGGGCAGAATCATCTTTTTGAATGATAACTGATAGATATTTATTGCCACATAAATGCTTCATCATGAAAGCTAAGCTGGTTTCCTTCAGACCTGAAGGTATATTTTTGAATATAGTGCGTAATCTTAGCGCATTTGTTTAGTACTCAAGTATATTTTAAAGTATCTCTGAAGTGTCCTGGTCAGTGATTACATAACCACACATCGCTGTATTCATCAATAAAAAAATTATAACAACAAAAGCTTCTGTTTCAAGTCACCACTCGATGTCTCTTTCATATCCCATTCTCCTCTCCAAGTTTTCTGAGCTGTTTCACTTAGGAGGTAAATACCCGCCAGCTCTTGTTTCTGGCCTCGTTATTTTTTTGACATTGTTTTATATCGTTGGACTTTTCACTTCTTTGAACTCAAGTTTGGCACTTGATCCTTGGGCTCTCTATCATTTAAATCTTAACAAGATATCACTATATCCTTTGGTTCACTCATCTTTTTTCCACCTTTTGTTTAACATTTTTGCTTTGATCTCTCCTCTGTCACTATATGAAAGATCGAATGGTACGGCTCATACAGGAGTTGTCTTAAACGTTTTGGCAGTTGTTACAGCATTGCCTTACTGTGTTTTAGGAATGGTGTTTTTCCCCAGAGTTAGTGTACTGGGAGCATCGGCTTGGTGCTTTTCATTCTTTGGTTACTATTCTTGTTTGCAGAGTCTCAGCTATCCCACTTTCAAAGTTCAAAATTACGAGATTCCTACCATCGCAACACCATTTATATTACTGGTGGTATCAGCTCTAATTTTCCCAGGATCAAGCTTTATTGGGCACCTTTTAGGACTACTTTCTGGTTTTGCCCTTGCTAAGGGTTATCTGAAACCCCTTATTGAACCTTCTTCTAAGGTGATTTCGTGGCTGGAAGAGAGATTAGAGAAGTATATTGATATGATTCCAATAGTTGACTATTATAAGGAAAAGGATGTCCAACGGCAATTAGTTAATTTAAATGAAGATATCGAGACACAAGGTAACGTTTTGGGTACTATTTAATAGAAAAATAATTGTGTAGGTACAAAACTTAGAACTTAGATACCCGCTGCCCGATCTTAATAACATCGGCTAACACACCAGCAGCAGTTACTTCAGCACCTGCACCTGCACCTTGAATAATCAAGGGGTTCTGATATCTCTCTGTTTTGATAGAGATGACGTTATCCGACCCTTGAAGAGAGGCAAAGGGGTGTGAAGCGTCATACTTTCCAAAACCAACAGAGACCTTATTGTTGGGGAAGTCAACAGTTCCAACAAAACGCAAAACCTTGTCCTCGGAAGCAGCTTGTTCCTTTAAATTTCCCAATTGGGAGTCGAACTCATGCAGTCTTGAAAGAAATTCATCACTCGTCTCTAAAGTTTCAAGCTCCTGGGGTACTAAAGAGTCAACAGGAAATGAAGCAGGAGATTCCACATTGAATCCAGATAGTCTGGCCAAAATGGTGACCTTTCTAGCAACATCCAGCCCGGAAAGGTCGTCTCTAGGGTCAGGCTCAGTATAACCCAACTCCTTGGCCTTCGACACAATTTCAGAAAATTTGATATCATTTGGCTTTACAGTGGAAAACAGATTGAAGATATAGGATAGAGATCCGGAAAAAATTCCTTCAATCTTTTCAATTTTATCTCCAGTGTTGACTAGATCATTGATAGTACTAATCACTGGCAATCCGGCTCCAACAGTAGCCTCATGATACACAAGCCCACCGCTTAGTTTTTTAGAAGCTTTGAATATTTCACTCCATAAACCTAGCTCCCCAGAAAATGCTTTCTTATTAGGAGTTGCAACTGAAATACCATTAGAGACAAAAAGTGGGTAAGCAGCTGCAATGTCAGCACTAGAAGTGTTATCTACTAAAACTGCTGGTAAAGGTGAATTTTTCAAGAATTTCAAAATTTCTTCCTCTGTCAAGGGATTTGATGAGCTGTTGTCCAGGTCTGCTCTCCAATCGGTTAAATTCAACGGTTTGAAATCATAAGAGATCAAGGCAGTTTTGCTTTTAGCCAAATAAATAACGTTAAAGTCGAACAAAGACGATACGTTCTTCAACTGATTAATAAACGCAGAGCCGACAACGCCTGCTCCGATAATGGCGATGTTGATTGCAGGTGACATAGTGGAGAACAGAAGTTTAGTAGAACCGAAAGGTGAGAGAGAAGAAAACGAAGAGTTAGTTGCCTGGGATAATTTCTCGTATTGTCACGTGCTATTTGTTACTCTACATTATCAAGCTGAACAATTCTGAATGATTGGGAAAGCTCCTCAGTGCTCGTTTTAATACATATTTAATTCATTGTCCGTTGCCATTTCAATCCAATTGATCAAGCAATTTTGATCACTGAGGTTTGGGAAACTGAATTTGCCAACCTTGCACTTTCCGTCCGCCTGAGGATTATTGGGACATTGATAATAGGGAGCATGGTAATAACCAATATCTCGAAACCAGTGAACTTTGGATCTGTCTTGGAACAAAGTCACCCCAATTGAATGCACTGGTGCGTCTCCCCATCTTTCGTAATAAAACCCTCCTGTTGCATCGAGGTGATCCACCCACTTGGTGTACGCTTCACTTCGAAAGAAGTCCATATCGCCTATTTCAAAGTTGGACCAGAAATGACAGGTAGAGTAGCCGTTCGCAATTCTAGTTTTTTGAGGATTTTGTTTCTTTTCTGTTAACCAGTCCCAAGCAGCATTTTTGTCAACAAATTGAGGGTTCTGCTCAATAAACTTTATTGTCTCGGGCCATAATGTCTCGATCGATCTTTCTATATCGTACAAACTGATAACAAACCCATATGTCTTATCATTTGCTGACATAAATTTGAATACATCATAATCGATGGAGGTATGATAATGTGTGCCCGGTTCGAATCTCCAGTAGTATTTGAATTGTTGCAATCTGGGATGGTTATAAAAACCCCTACTGTAATATCGACACATATTATGGTAAGACAACTTATCAGCGTAGCCAACATTGTATTTTCTCATGACCTTAATTCTTTCTGACTCCTTGGCAGAGTCTATCCAATCAGGTCTGTCCCAGCTTTCTTTATCAATCGTTTCAAAGAACACTTGTCCTGAAACTTTTTCTGTTATGCTCTTTTTGAACTTGTCAGTGAATTCTTTATCATTCAAAAAAACGTATGGATACTGAAATTTGTGATTGAATTGGCTTTCCACCGTTTCAATTGCCTGTAGAGCGGTGATGAGTTCTTTGTTTCTAACTAACATTAGTAATGTGGCATTCTCCCGCTGATAATCAGCTAGATTTTCCGGTGCATAAACCAGATTTCCAACACTGGGTTCTTTGACCTCCATTTTCATGATTTTGTCATACTTTGTCATCATATCATCAACAATATCATCATGCTTACTCATAAACTCTTCGAATTGAAAGTCTAAAGTTGGAAGTTTGCCAGACGTCATCATATACTGAATGGCATCCCAGTATAGCCATAATCCGGATGCAGTAAGTATGAAAGATAAACCTCCAAAGATTGCCAACTTAGTAAACCTCTTTGTAAGGGAGACCATAGTCAGTAGAAGAATACTATTTCTCCTGTCAAGTGATGTACGTTCGCGTTTTTGTATTATCTTTCAAAGTATTTTGTCACCTTCGGGATGAAACAATCAAAACCTTTAGCAGTAGTAGCACAAAAGCCGAATAAATCTTAGTTTTGATTTTCACCCGTTCTCCTGTTTAATGGAGTGTCGTTTGACAAACTAAAGTGCTATGAAGATATGGTATATACTGAGCAATCCACATGTAGGTTAAAGGCGTATGTAGTTTAGCGGTAAAATTCGACGTTGCCATCGTCGGGCCCCCGGTTCGACTCCGGGCATACGCATCACTCCTTTTTTGGAACCATAACTTCAATTTTCAGCTACATATATATAGCTTGGGTTGAATCCATATCCAGCTTTACAAATTTTCATTCAATGTACTAAAACGAAGAATAAGAGTTTACAAATGAAAAATTGCTAATTCATATCCTGATTATCTTCCACTTTAAGCTCAAAGCTTACCTCTTTATCTGCATCCATGTAAGAATCACACATGCACCAGAGTGTTATGATGTGTGATCCTGGGGACGGAACCGAGAATGTAACTCTAACTTTCTCTTGCTGTTTTGAAATTCTTACACGTTTAATACCATAAAGCTCTTTCGAATAGGAGCAACCAATAACGAGCCACCAGTTCTCTGTTTTTGGAAAGGGATATACCGAAGAAATAACAGCTAGATCCTCGGGTTGTTCATCTCGAGTGAGCGTAACTATTATTTCTCTTTCCTCGTCAGCTATTATAGTACCTTCGGTGATATTTAACTCGTAATCAATATCAACATTGGGGAACTTGTTCACGAAATCAGCAACTTTCTGGAGCTGCCCATTAGATAGCGTCAACAATTTGTCCCGTTCATCGTCCTCCATAGACATAATATCAAATATAGTTTCCACTTTAGCCTCTTGGCAACGGCGCAATAAAGCCACATTATCGAAAAATGGTATCTGCTTTAAAGGACTTTCATTCTTCCAAATCCCCTGGACCACCATCTGAGAGAGATCCATAGCTGTTATGGCATTCAGGTACCCTTCCCCCGATAAAATGTCCACACAAGTGTATACCAAGTTCAACATCTTCTTAAGCACAAACTGTTGATCGCAATGCAATTCAGGGGTCAATTTAGTCCTTGAAAAATGAGCTTGCACTAAAATTAAGGCTTTTATTTGAGGAGACTCAATGCTTGCCCCAGTACTAGATTTGATGGGAACCTGGTTATATAGTCGGTTCAAAATACCTTCTTCGTGTTTTCTTACCGGTAGTGAATCAAACTCTGCAGCAGATGTGACAATCTCCAACATCCCTTTTAATTTTGTTTTCGGCGAAAGTGATAAGATAAATGTTTGCATAGTAGAGAAACAGATATTGTAGTAGGAGGCAATCATTGTTGCCGTTAGTGGTACAATT